ATTGCCAAAGTTTGAGTAAAAATAGCGAATTTTTTTATATATAATAGATATAAAATTTTATTTTTTTAGCCAATAAAAATTCTAGATTTATTGTCAGGTGGGGGTAGGGGGTAACCTACTTAGTAAACCCTAATCACCTGATAAATGGCGCTCTCCTAAACATAATATTTGAACTAATTTAAGCAAATTTGAAATTAGTTAAGATTAGTTAAGAGTTATAGTAAAGTTTATAGTTAGCTCTAAAGTTAAGTTAGAGTTTTTTATATTATAATCTTATAATATTTCTATATTGGCCATCTATACTAAAGGAGATCCAAAAAAAATTTAATCGGAATTTTTTTAAAAATATCAAAACTTCAAACAAAGATTACTTGGCATCTATCTAGTCAAATTTGATGGGAAGTAATATTTGTACTCCCATTTTTAATATTTATACTTTTTATGTGGCTGGTATATTGTTCATGTGATCATGTGATCTGAAAATGGCCAGAAATCTCTTATATATGTATGTACACAAAGAGTAATCTGGCTAAGTGGCTTGTAATTAATGATAATCAATAAAGATGCAAAATTTTACACTATCGATTATTTTATATCGCTATTGCCTAAAGTGATTAAATTAGATATTATAATAAGATAAGTAGTTTGCTTTTAAAAATAGCTAATTACTACTGCTATTAATTTTTGTTAAAAGTATTAAAGTAGATGATGCATAAAAATAAGACAAATAATTTTTTTCTTTTTTAAAAGCGCTAATTAAAACCTTTTGTATGTTTGAACAAGTACAAGAATAATGCCCTAGTTGCTTACAGAGAGTACAATGCCTTATTTTACGCTCTACAAGCTCAAATCTAGAGGGATCCTTTTTTGTTAAATTTGTTGATTTGCGATTAGAAGAACCAGTAGGACATCTCCTTGTGCGAACAAATTGAGGGTTTTGTATGATTAATAGTATACTAATTATATCATTTATTGATTCTTGTATAGCTGCTTGTTGATGTTCAGTCCAATTTTGGTATTTATTTTTTAGATTTTGTAAAAGAGGTTCAAGCAAGTTTTTATTTTCTTCAATTGGTGATATTTGTATATTATGAATCCACTACTGATTGTGAATGTCATCAAGCACTAGGCTTCTATTTTTGAAATGTTGAATACTATGAGTACAGGACAATTCCATTGTATTTAAAAAGAAACTTGTATATAGTAGTAAAGCTTGTATAGTGTTATTGGCTTTTTGGTATTGCTTATTTATTTTTTTAAGAGCAAAAGATAATACAATTCTCTTGATATTTGCATAAAATAGGTTGTTATAAGCAAAAGCTAGAAGACGAATGTGTTCTGATGCAATCTTTGCAATAATTTCTTTCTTCTGATTATTTACTGCCAAAGAGATTGTCTTATAAACTCAATAAAGATTCTCTGTTGATAATTATCCCTTAAATTGTAACACTAGCAAATTTGCCTGCAAAGATTTTTACTAATTTTTTTAATATTTAAATTTTTTAATAAAATTTTGAATATTAATTTT